GGGATTCTGTGGGTGTACCACCCATCCCACTGCTCAATAATCTTCCTTCCTAAGTTGGCTGGGTTGGTCTTGGGAGTGATGCTGGAGTCCTCTAGACTTATTGTACTAGGATATTTCATCATCTTTTCTGAAGCCACCTTGTTAGGATGGGTTCAGGACTTAATGTCCTCCGTGATGACCATGGATCTGTTGAGCCCCTCTCACACTGGACCTTATGCAAACAGCTCTCCTACTGTATCCTGACAGTATGCTATAAATTAGTAACAGGTGTGTTTGTGTGAATGGAAGCTGTGAATTAATGTCTTCGATCCAAGAGCTGCAGATGTCCAAGCCAGGCTTTCATTTGCGGAGACAGTAAATTGATACATTTGAAATCCACTGTCATATGGAATCTGCATAACTCCATCTGACCTTTTTGGTAGTTGGGTTTCCAGCGGTAGTTGGGGTTACATCTGGACCGATTTTTGAACAATTGCATCACAGCATACTAGCCTTCTCAGCTTTTAAGATTTTCTGGAGAAGCCCTTCTCTTGGTTCCACCACCTTCCCAAGTCCATTGGGGAGGACATGAAGGAAGGCCTTCTCAGTGGTTGCTCCCAGGCTTTGGAATGTGCTGCTCCGAGAAGCCAGGCTGACCCCTTCGTTCTGGCCCTTCCGTTGTCAGACAAAGTACTTCTTCAGAAAGATTTTTGTGGTAATCAGGAAGTGTGTCAGGAATACTTGTTGATTAACTTAAACAGTTTTTTAATATTTTAAAACTGTTTTTAATCTAGATGTTAAATCTTAATCTATGTTTAATTGTGTTAAATATGATATTTATATAGCATGTTAACAGTGTTGTTTGTTTTATAGTTTTATCTGTTTTGAGCTGCCTTGGGTCTCCTGTATAAATAATAAAGTATCAACAAATCACCGCCCTGCTCTGGCCTTTTGTGTTGCTTGTGAAATTGGTGAAATGCAACAGATGACATGATGAGAAGCCTTCTGGAGTGGGGGGAATGTACTGTATGTATGTAACCTCCAGTTCCAGTTTTAAGCCATTGTACAGTATATGCTTTTAATCTTTTTTTCTGACCACTAGGTGGTGCTCATGCAGAGCTGAACTCCAAAATTAGTGTGCATGTGTGTACAGTACTTTTATGTGTGTGCACAGTATTTCATAGTTTTAGAAAGGAAAGTAATTTTATTTCTGTTTTGAATATGTCAACAATGCGATAAATATATTAAAATATCAGCCAACACTTGGAACTTGTACTTAAGTTAGTTTGCTGCCACTGTTTGAACTAAATGAACTGACAGAGGAACAGATCCTGTTATAGAATTGTTATGAGGGGAAAGAAAACAAAATTTCATTTTAGCTGGCCACAGAAGAGCCAACAGAGAGAGGGAGAGAGAGGAGGAAATTTGCAAGAGGCTAATCTGGATGGTTACAGTAGTTACCTTAAGAAGTGCAGACAAGGGCTGGCTGCCAGTTTCCTCCATTCTGACTTCTGTCTGGTCAACTAAAGCAAATAGAGATTCAGCAGCTGGTCTTGTAAACAAAGGCTGATTGCCAATTTCCTTCTCCCTTCTCCCTTCTCTGTCTTTCTCTCTCCCCCCCTCTCTCTATCAGGTGCCGTATCACACCTGCACAGGCAACAAGGTTTCAAATAAAATAAAATAAATGATTCGGAGAAAGAGGGGTGCTCGGCTGAGAGGAATCAACACCCCTGTGAGTGCTTCTTTGCTTCCTCCCCTCCCACACCGACTTTGAACTAAGAAGCTGAGAGAGCCAGCTTTGGGTCACCCATTCAGCCATGAAGCTACATTGACTCAAGCAATAACACCATCTGAACCGATGTGAGATCATGTTATCAGGGGGAAAGCAGAAGTCCCAGCGGTCAAGGAAAAGAGTATAGAGTAAGGGGAAAAACTCTAGGCTGATTTGCATTGACTTGTATGTCATGTAGCCAATGGAAAAAAATATAGTATGAATCTGACCATCCCAATTCTGGAGCATTTCCCATATTATTTGTCGTTGTTGTCTGAGAAAGTAATTATTCTAAGATTTATTTATTTATTTATTTAACCAATTTTATTTTAAATATTTTTATTTATTTCTGCCTTTCACCTTAAAAAGACCCAAGGTGGATCTTTCAAGATGGCTGGTCACATCAATCCATGGCAACAAAGCCAACCAAGAGTTTTGTGACACTGTAAGAACCAAGGGTAAAAACAAAAATGGAGGATAATGCGTATTTCCTGCTCTTACAACATTTCTTCTGCAGAGCACCTCTGCAATAAAACATGCAAAGGAAGCTGACATTCACATTCCAATCATCAATCAAGCTTCTGCTTTTAGCATGTTTTTAGCAGACATTTCTTGCCACTTGAGGGAGGAAGCACTGCTTCTAGACATGGGATGAGAAGCCCCAATTAACTCCATTTGGTATATATTTTCATGGATTACATTTCTTCTGAAGTAATGGGCTTCAGCATACAAATATGAGAAAGTTAGCTGCAATACATGACAATTAAAACTTGTTAGTCTTTCAAGTGTCATAGGATTCTGTTGTTCTTCAAGATCTGGTGGGGTAGTTTTGAAGGTGAAAGTAGTTCAGTACAGCTTGATATACACTGATGTGTACAGGTTTATATAATGGTCCTTGGCTCCATAAATATATGAAATGTCTGACTTTTTTTAAAAGAAGAAAGTTGGAGTGATTCATTGATTATCCAGTAGTTATTTTGATATACAGTATATATGTGGTACATCCATATGAAATAAAACTGGGTAGTATATTGTCCCATGCTCATTTGTGTTAAACCACATTGAGGTCTCATGTTATCCCCACATCAGTGAGGTAAACCTTGGCTGAGAAATTTAAGGTTACCCAGGAATTAAGTGAGAATTTTATTCTCTCAAACCTATTGAGAGTCAGTTCTGATAAAACAAGATGGCTGCTTCTGTTAACATATGTTGGAGTTCCCAGAAAGCAAGAATGCATGTGATGTGCATTTTGCCCTCTCACTGCATTCAGACTCCTTTCCCATCATGCCTTCACAGCATGGGCCAAAATAGATCCCTGTACAGAATTTGGAAAAATTCGCATTTGAACTACGTTTCCTGGAATCCTCAAGTAACATGGAGTTGCCATGTTTGCTGAAGGATTATGAGAGGTGTAGTCCAAAAATAACCTTCTTAGCCTCTGACACATATAATGATAATAATCTTAGAACTGCAGAGCTTGAAGAAGACACAGTGGGAATTGAACTCCCAACCTCCACCAGATACCTAAACCTGTAATGAATTGTAGCTCCTTTCTAAAGTACAAAAGAGCTTGGATTGTAGGGTTATCAAAGAGTAATATCTGTCTATCTTTAAATATTTAAATCAGGATACTATTAGTGGTAGAGTCAATCTATTTTTTTCCAGCTATCCAGTGGTTTATATTGGGTGTTTATGCTTCCAATGATGAGATAACAGTGAGATGAGGCTGGGACAGAAACAATTGGTTTCCTTTGATTCCAAACTAACTAACTAACTAACTAACTAACTAACTAACTAACTAACTAACTAACTAACTAACTAACTAACTAACTAACTAACTAACTAACTAACTAACTAACTAACTAACTTTCTTTCTTTCTTTCTTTCTTTCTTTCTTTCTTTCTTTCTTTCTTTCTTTCTTTCTTTCTTGCTAGTACAGTTGGGTGGTTCTTTTCCCAGGAAAGCAAGTAAGCAGAAGTCATCACTATCAATCACACTAAAAGCACAGCATTGAATTAATCTTTCCACCAGGAACCTTGAACTGAGGTCCACCTAGGTAACTGCAGAGCACTTGTATGTCCTTTTTCCTTTCTACATGCACAAAATGGTTCTTTCTGGTGTCAAATTGGATGCCATATCAACGAAATACACAAGGGTGTGTGTGTGTGTGTCTGAAGAAATGTTAGATGGAGTTTGCAATCCTTTCCTAGAATCCATAAAGATGATAATTTTGTTATTACAAGGAATATTATACACCGGACAAATATGCCACACACAAGATGATGAATACCTTTTATTGAATGTTATAAAGAAGAATTACAGGAAGGCAAGTAAGTAGAAGTCATCACTATCAATCACACTAAAAGCACAGCATTGAATTAATCTTTCCACCAGGAACCTTGAACTGAGGTCCACCCAGGTAACTGCAGAGCACTTGTACAGTATGTCCTTTTTCCTTTCTACATGCACAAAATGGTTCTTTCTGGTGTCAAATTGGATGCCATATCAACGAAATACACAAGGGTGTGTGTGTGTGTGTCTGAAGAAATGTTAGATGGAGTTTGCAATCCTTTCCTAGAATCCATAAAGATGATAATTTTGTTATTACAAGGAATATTATACACCGGACAAATATGCCACACACAAGATGATGAATACCTTTTATTGAATGTTATAAAGAAGAATTACATTCCTGGGACAAGAGCCTAAATGTATGGTACACAGAGCGGTGATGGCTTTGTGATGAGGCCAGGGTGCCCCTCCTCCATTCTCGTCAAAGACCCACCTATGATGCAGAGGTATCAGTCTTTGTCTAGACTCTTACTTAAGAGCAATCTGATCACAAATCATTAGAAGGAATTATTTTCTACATATATTATGAAAACCTGATTTCTGCTGTTAAGGGCACAACAATAGTCTAAGCGATTTTTCTGCAACTCTCGTGATATACTCCATACAAATATATTTTTAAAAGTCAAAGTAATTTTCCTCAATAGAGGATATTGTATAACTAAATTATTCTCTTCAAAAAATAAATACAGCATTGTTTTAAAGACAGAAGTTATATAATAACCAGAAATTGCAGACATCTTTAAAAAATGATTTATACTGATGAAAAACCTACTACTTTTGAGGAACAGCTATGCAAATTAGTAATAAAAATCAGTGCATAATGTCTGCAAAAAAACACAGATCAATAACTACCATAACAGATTTTTAAAAAGTGTATTCTAATGTAGTTTGTATTCTATTGATTTCATAACAATTTTCTGATTGATTGTAATAGACATGTACCACATAATCTGTATAGCTGATTTAACATAGCCGTGTCTAGTTTTCAAATGCAGTGACCAAAATCCTGTTGCATGCTTGGCCAGTGCAACAGGAAATTGTGTTATTTAAGGTTATGAATTGCCACTAATTAATTATTTCCCTCCTGGATTCCTGGTCACACATCAAGCCACCTGAGTTGTTTGCAACTGGGAATCCAGGCAGAACTTTTAAATTAGTGGTAATTTGTCACTGTGAGACATGTCGTTTTCCACTTCAATTTTGAGTTCCTTTCCTGGAACTGAAAAGTAAATTTAGACAAGACACACAATCTTAAGTAACAAGCTTTCAGAAACAATAGCAGCAAAATAGCAGAACATAAAGAATAGAAAAGGAATATTCCATGTATGATGTAGTTATATTCACATTTCCTTTCCTTTGCTACAGGTGTATTCTATTAGAAACCTTCACAGTATTGACAAAGTACATACAGTTATGTCTGTATTTTTCTGCCTTCTAAGTTCACATTTTACAGAATCTGCTTTAATGTTGCACAACTGCTCATGGCAGTTTAAAAAAACAACAATGCACACACACACACACACACAACAGAAATTTGAAGTGGCTAAAAGCCTACCGATTTGGAAGACTTAAATTGTACAAGGAAATTATATCACTAGCATGACACTAAGTTGACTTCATCCTCCTTCGTCCCTCGTGAATCAGGAACATGTTCACAGTTGGTTACGTGGAGGTATTTCAGCTATGTGTGTGAACAGGACACACATCTCTAGCCTGTAGTTATATGCACCTAAGCAACTAGTGGCTCAAACTCTGCTTCCTCACTAGTGTGAAGGACAGGTCTTATGGAACAAGACCCAGTTCAGAGTTTTGTTCAATTTTTTTTTCTGTGAATAGATTAAAATCTGAAGATACTTCCTTCAGCAGATACTGTTTGATACTTGAAATAGAAAGAGCATTACTACTGTGGTTCAAAATGCATTGGAGGCACTCCATTATACTAGAAAACATATTTCCTTCATTGAGGGAGGGCAGTCTTCCTTGGTGCCTCCCAGATGTGTTGAACTTCAGCCTTCATCATCCTCAGCCAGCGTGGCCATTAGCATACTATGTGGTTATGTAGAAGGAGTACTATTTGCTTATCATTCTGGTTTTGATCAATATAGTCCAAGTGCTTCCTTTGCTTTGCTTTTCACTCTTGAAACATCCTGCACGATGCCTGTGGGATTAACTGCCCATTTGCTATGAAGAGGTCACTTCTGGGATATGATGGGTTGGTTGTTCTACTGCATGTTTGTTTTTCAAGACATGACACAATTTATAGTTTCCCACCACTTTGGTTTGGCCATTAGCCTTGTCCTGCTTGTACCAGATGTCTGAGGCAATGTACACATTGTACGGGTCATTTGAATGTTCAAGCTTTTTGGAGCGGATATAGCTAATCATGACTCCCAAGGTGAAGAAGCCAAAGAAGCTAAACAGTAAGAGTATAAACACTACTTCCAGGTGGTCGCTTGTAGCAACGACTGGTTCTGGTGTAGGATGATTCGTCTCAGCAGCATAGTCTTCTAGCAGTTTTGAAAGGAGCAAATGCAAGGCTGTGCTATTGGACAGCATTGTGGCCACTGCCTCCGATTCTGATTTCTAGACAGGTTTGAAAAAGAGAGCATTTACAACACCAAACATGGAAATAATTACATGTAAATAATAATAAACTGATTGATTGAAAACAGGTTATGCTTATTATTAGCTATGCATTCCATTTCTTTCCCACCCTTCTCCCATTATGGGGAACCGAGAGGTCTTATGGTGCAATCAGACAACACCTGATTGCACCAGAAAGGATCACTTTAATGGGAGTAATCTCCTTTAAAATGAATCTTCCATCTGTTGGGGAATCTCTACAACCCAGCCTCCAAAAGTATAAGTCCTGTGACCGGACAAAAAGATCTAGCTTGGGCATGAGTTGGGGTCGGGCTGAAACTATTTCCCCATGTGTTGTGTGATCACCGGGAAAACAGATTGTACCAAATCACTCCACAAACAGTTCAAATGACAGTTCTGTTTCCCTGCGTGATTGCACCATTTAAACAATGATTAATAAAAACCCACAAGTAAAACTAAAATCACAATAACTTAAAATTTTGCAATGAATTCAAAGCTGTAGACCAGAATCCTGTTGATGTTCCCACACACAGTTCTTATAATGTAAGGAAGCCCATAGATTCTCATGTTGTTCTTATTACTGAAAAAAATAGATTTTGACTCTACCAGGTATGGTATCTGATTTAAATATTTAAAGATAGACAGAGAACACTTTTTCCCCATAATGGGAGAAGGGTGGGAAAGAAATGGAATGCATAGCTAATAATAAGCAATCTCTTTTGTTCTTTAGAAAAGACCTACAATTCATTACAGGTTGCTTAAACATGACACCTACAGTGTTATTACACTAAAGCCCATGGGCTCACCTGTTCAATGCACTTTTGCACCATTAATTAATAAACTAGCAGTGACTTTTTTTTAAAAAAAATGTAGTTTATGGCCTTTATGTCATCGCAACCAAGGACCTAGGGACATTTGTATTAAGCTTTTCAGAAATCTTCTTCCCAGTTGTTTAAAGTTAGGGAGGAGGGGAGCGATACCAGTGAGCCTGAGATATCGTTCACACATGTCATACTGAATCCTGACTTCATTCTATGAATGAACACAGTCAACATATGAAATCAGGTTAGAGAATCCTGTGATCCAGGAGCTGTATATGGACCCTGGGATTTTATTATCCCACTCTGTAAGCGCCAAGCCCCTCCCTTTAACAATATTCAGTAAAAACAACACATAAATCTATTATTACTCCTGGAAACTGCTCCAAGTGGCAATTTAAACTAGAACAAGGCACAGCCTCCCATTTGTAGATTCTGTGCAACTGAAAACTATGCAAGATTCTACTTTCTGTATAGACTGAAACTAAGGCTGTGGCCACACCAGCCAAATGTTGCTTTCCTATCCCCCACTGAGTTCATAACATAAATTTGCATTCACATGAAGCACAGCTATTAGTGAATCATTTGCCTCCCCCAGCATGCTAACTGTGGATTGCTTCTTGCTCAGCCAGGGGCTTCTACAGTACTTTTTTGTTGCTTTTCGTGTTTCAATGCGTCAAATCTCGTCAAATGCTCTTTTGAAAGACAATCCCAGCCATGCGCCCTGAGAATCCTGGCAACCTCCACCAGCCTTTCACCTCATCTCCGAGCTCCCCATTCACATTGCAGCCTCAGGATCAGACCCTCCCTGCTGCGCCTTTCCTCTGTGCGATTCCCCCACCCTCCATAAACTCCAGCCGCCCTTCCCCTCCCTTTTCCACCACAGCTCCAGGCTCCACAGTCAAGAGCTGAGGTACTGAGGGGGGATGAGCTGGGGTAGGACTGGGGCAAACACTCGCGCTGGCTTCGCAGGCAAAGAGGCGCGCATGGCTGTGTGTGTGGAGCCCGGCAGTCAGCAACAGGAGCAGGAGCAGCTCTCGAAGGTTTCCTGACTCCTGCCTGGAGTGGGGGAGGTGCTGCTTTGGGCTGAGTTTTGTACGACATACGTTTGTGGGGAGAAAGTCCCCATATTGGGTAATCACCAGGCAATTGTGCCACCTTCTCACCTTGTAGCACAGCTGGCTTTCTGTGCATCTGTGTGTGCGCGTCTGTGTGTGCGTCCGTGTGTGTGTGTGTGTGTGTGTGTGTGTGTGTGAGAGAGAGAGAGAGAGAGCAATTGAGTGAGCATGAGAGGTACTCAAGGAATGAGTATGGCATGACACCCCCCACTCCTCAAAGCCCATCAAGTCCTGATTGCTCCCCTGGATTGTGGCCCTTTGCTGTAGGTGGTAACAAGAGGAGCGGAGTGAAAAAGGCTGTGGGGAAAGGGGCTTTCTCCCCCTCAGTGCAGGCGTCGCGGACTGGAAAGCACCCAGCCTTGCCCATTTTCTTTCCCTCTCTGTCCTTTTCAGATCCCACCCCTGGTGCTTTTATGGGTGCCCACCTTCCAGTCTTCCTGTGACTCACCCCCCCAAAAAAGGATGTGATGTGTTTCATAATCGAGGTGGAGCCTCACATAGCGCACCGGTGCCCACCTTCCCGTCTTCCTGTGACTCACCCAAAAAAAAAAGGGGGGGGATGTGTTTCGTAATCGAGGTGGAGCCTCACATAGCGCACCTAATGTTAACTGTCACAGTATTTTAAAAACACACTAGAATGCACATCCTGGGATGTATGTCCTGCAACCCCAATACACTACTACTCAGCAATTAAAAGACATGAGAAAACCGGGGGGAGGGGGGGAGAGACATTTTGCTGGTGTGTACACGGCCTAAGGCTCCAGAAGTGCCATGTTATTGAAGGAGCCAAATGACATCTTTGCGTACGGGTCAATGACAGTAGTTCCACCAGGCAAAACTGACGTTTTTAATGGCATTGACCAAATCCTGAGGAATCCTGCAGTAAGGGTAGTCAACAGCCGGGAACTTCTCTCTCTCTGTCCGTCTCTCTCTGTGTGGGTGCTGGGTCCATCACTGTTTTCCTGATCACTTTTGCCTCCACTTTAATAGTAGCAGTGACAAACTTACCACTTCTTCACATATAAGCAAATAGCATGGAGGGCATGCACCTTATTTTTAAGGAGAAACATATCCCTGGAAAGATCCATGCAGTTTATTATTCCCTTGATAATACAGGCATATAGGAAGCTTGTAGTAATATCATTAGCCTTAAAAAATAAACAGTGGCTACTTTAAATGTTTTAAAAGGGCAATTTTGCTGCTGCCGCCACCACTGCTGCAGCAAATTGGGCACCCCCACTAAAATGGCCAAGAGAATGCATGTGAATCAAAAGCACATGTTGCTAACCCTATAAATTATCAGATGATTAAGAATCTCTGGATGATCCTGCATGACTTGTCATTCTTCAAGCCAAACAATTTTCAATCCTATTTATGAGCCAAATGGGCACATCTAAAATCTTCTGGGATTTACTGGGGTAAACTGCCTCATACTTCAAATATCTAGGAGGGTAAGGCCCACACACCTGAAGGGCTGCAATACTTGGCTGTCAAGCTTTACTCATTTTGGCAAGTGTTCCAGTGGCACAGCTCTGGCATCATTTTTCCAAGAACGAGGGAGGGGAAATTTTCATTTATGGAATTATTTGGTTCCTCCCAGTGATGTCAGCAACCTCTCTCTGTGTGTTGTGTGCTGTCAAATCAGAACCAAATTATACAACCCTAATAGGGCTTTCCAGATATGTGAGATATTTAAGGAGTGGTGTTATCAATTCCACATCTCTCTCTCTCCATGATTGTCTATGGATGAATGAGGTTTTGAACCCAGGCTTCCTGCGTCCTAGTCCATAATAGTGTTCACTACACCATGCTGCGTGTCCACAAAAACTGGTACTATGTAACTATGTCATATTTTCCTACATACAGTATATCCTTCTTAGTCCCTGCTCCAAATAATCTGAATCCTGTAGACATTTTTGGATTCCCTTTTCCTGGAATGGTTTGAGACAATTAACTGAACATCCATGAATATTACAGAATTCTTACTGTAAGAATTGTGATAGTTGGGGCAACCAATTTGAACAGTGCTTACAGTCAACCTTCCAGTGTGAAAATAGAAAGTATATATTGAAGGTGGAGTTCCAAAGCTGTCTATAGAATTCTGGAAAGTGTGGCATTGGCAGCTTTTTGTTATTATTTTATTAGTATATTCAACAAGGTGAATCTACTGGCTTTACTTCTGATGCCTGTACAAAGAGTATGATGTGTGAAAACTGTAATCAGCTGAAGAGTGACAATTCTAGTGCACTGCATTTTGGGAAAAGTAAGATGGTGGCTACAATAGTGACCATTGAAGCCTATTCAAGAGAACTCCTCCAAGATCTTCCTCAGTCCTAGGGTCAGTCTTACATTTGATATATATTGTCAAATGTGTGTGTGTTCTAAACATATGGATACTCCTATTCCTCTACACTTTTAATATATGATTCTGAATTATATATATATTGCCCATCTATTACTGACACAATACAAGTTTCATGTGTAGATTTAAAGTTCTATAATTCAATCTCTTGTTACTGGGAAGTGTCCTTTTCTTTTGGTCATCTTTTATTTGAACAGTTTCCTTTCTTTCATAACATCCGAGCCTCATATCACACAATGAATGTCAATCTTTGTCCTTGTTAGACTATAATGTCTGTCAAAATCCAGATGATGGAGAGCAATGTTTGTCTGCTGGCAACAGAATTTGGGGGGGGGGCACAGAGCCCCTTTCAGGGGCCAAAGTTCATTTCATCAGGTGCATTAAGTCTCATCCTCAGTTAACAGATGTGTATATAATGATTCAGAGAACAGAGAAGAAAAGGGGAGGATGTGTCAAAGTGAGAGTAAATTACTTCATGGTATAGGCGTGGACAAATGTGTGGCCCTCCAGAGCTTGTTAGGCTGCAACTTCTGCCAGATCCAGTCAGCATAGCCCATGAATTAATGGGAATTCCTTTCCAATAGCATCCAGAGAGCCATCTGTTCCTCTTATAATCTGTCAGGAGCAGACTGTACACAATTCCTAACTTCTATTGTACTAGATAATATGGAATCCGAAATGATAGGGATGAGTTTGGGGGCTAGTATGTTTGTACATGTGAGCACTGGCCTGATCTTTGGCTTGGGATGTGTTGTTTGTAATATGTGGGGAATGAGCTTTAGTGTGTGGTTTTCTGGATCAAGATAACACAGTTCAATAATTGGGATGTGTTCCACAACATTATCATATATAGGATGTTCCATATATGTATCCAAGTGTTTTTGTGTTCATGCCCCATTGTATATATTTGGTATTGGTGTGTGTGTGTTTTACATAATTAATTATAAGAAGGAGAAATATTGCTTGTCGTTTGAGGACACTTTCTGTTTAAGCTGCATCCTTAAACAGGCAGACGTCCGTAGCATGGGGAGCAGAAAGCGAACATTAGTATGTTCCAGGGGAAGAGATACCCACAGAAACATACTGTTCACTGACTGGCCTCAATTTATAATGTACTGCATTTTCACCAGTACTTCACTAAATATCAATTCTGTTTCCACATCTAACTGTATCCACTGTATGCTGCCTACATAATCACCCCTGAGTGGGTGGTAATTGTAACGTACTGTACTGTTACTCTTCTCTAGAGTTATACTGTATTGAAGTACTGTAATATACTCTTGTGAAGGTGGTCAGCGTTTATATTAATGACAATGAACATCCAGTGATGAAAAGGCATGAGTGTGAAATCTTGTGAAATCCCCATTCCCTATTCTCTACCATACATCTTCAGTTTTTGGGCACTTTTGTACTAAGTTTAATAACATACAAGTTAGAGGCACCCTTGCCAACCTCTCTATACACAAGACATCCGCTTTTACAAATGTTATTTTATTCTGAATGAGTGTATATGCATTTTGAAAGGAATTACTATACTGATTTGAGCTGCTCTTTTAAAAGTATGCCCATGTCATTCTAATTCCTTTATAAAGCTTTCTAGCTGCAAAATTAATCCTTGCAATCATCCATCCATATTGAAATATACTCAAATGATGCTCAGTGTCTGAATTGTCAACTGTCGAATAGCACGTGGAAATTATATTCATATTATAAAACATTTTATCCCTCTCCAGATACTGAGCTCCTTTCCTTCGAGGAACATTTGTTTAACAGCAGAAAGGAAAGAATAAAATAAATATAATGTAGCAGAACAGATGCCAGTCAAGGATCAGACACAGATGGGAAAGGTCTACTTTTCTGATCAATAAGAAGTTTCTAAGTAATGGCAGAAGCTCCTCTTGTAGAACAAAAAAAAAGCCAGAGAAGCAAACAGGAAACATGCAAACTCACCAAGCTGTGTGAAGGAGGGAGTCTGGTGCACTCTGGATGCTGTGAGTCAGACTCACGTTCTGAGCTTGGCTGAGAAGAAGCCTGAGGTCTAGGTGGTGGCAGGAGGCAACCTCCTCCTGTGCTTACTGGGAGGGACCTGCTGCTATCAACCTTATGCTGTGACTGTACAGGGGAGGGAATTTAGAAGTAATTGGGAAGGCAGGTTTTCCCATAAGAAGGTGACATGGACTTCCAGGCAGGGAAGGGGTGCTCATCAACATATGCCACTTACCCAAGGGGAACATCCTTCCTTACCTACAGTTCTAGCCACTGATTTCCCTTCATCCCATTCAGTAGTACAAGGGGTGAAATGCTGCTTGCTTCTCTAAAATAACACACACACACAGAATAACCAGGTATAGCATGCTACCTTTCCTGTCACTAGGAGTTACTATTCCTATGATGATTCCCACCAGCATAGTTTCAAGTTTAAAATGAAGCTTTATTTCTTCTGTTCAGAAAGCCATAAGATCTTTTTGGAGCTTGGAAAAGTTCCTTTTGGGGGGGGGGTATAAATCAGAATCTCTAGCTTGGAAAACTTACACTTTGAATGGTAACTCCCCAAATCTCGTTTCTAATACAGTGGTGCCTCGGATAGCGAGGTTAATCCGTTCCGGATTAACCTTCGCTATGCTGAAGCATTGTTGAACGGGGCAGGGATTTCCATCGGAACGCATTAAACATGGTTTAATGCATCCCAAATGGGCCAAATACTCACCATTCAATGAAGCTTCGTAATGGCCGGCAGCCATTTTCGCGCCCTCGCCTCGCTTAACGATTTATTGGGCTATTTCCGGGCTTCCGGCGGCCATTTTGGCTGCCGAACAGCTGATCGTCGGGCTTCGTTTTGCGAAGATCGGTAAGCGAAACGCTTACCGGTCTTCGCAAAGCAAATTGTGCCCTATAGGAAAAACGTTAAGTGATCGCATTAGCGATCCGAAAAAATGGATCGCTATGCGATTTCGTCGTTATGCGGTGCGCTCGTTAAGCGAGGCACCACTGTAGTTACTTTGTAGATCACAACTCCCAGAGTTCTTTTGCTAGCATGATCAATCATCAGCAAAATATTTTTTTCCAAGTTCTGTGGACCAATGAGAAATTGTTTAAAGTTCCAGACGTCATTATTAGCCCATAAATATCAATGAGCATGTTACATCCTTGCAGATTTGAGGTACCTGTTGTGGCCCTTCGGAACGTTCCTTTCCCCGAAGCATACACTTCTTGGGGGTACATTCTCCCACTGAGCATGGATATACCCTTTCCTTTTACCCTTGTTAAAAAATTGCCCCTCTTTCTCCCTGATTATTTGGGATATCATTGATTTCTCGTAACATTTGTATTATTCTTCTAAAAGACAAATCACAATGGTTATTGTAGGTTTTTTGGGCTGTTTGACCGTGTTCTGGAGGTTTTTCTTCTTAATATTTTGCCAGACCCTGTGGCTGGCATCTTCAGAGGACAGGAGGTAGTGATCCACAAAGTAACTATTGGAAACTGGAGATATGGGGAGTTGCCATTCAAAGTGTAAGTTTTTGGGGCCATACAGGCCGAAAAACCTACAACAGCCATCAGATCCCGCCAAACAGGCAAAAAAAAAAACCTACAACAGCCATCAGATCCCAGCCATGAAAGCCTTCAAGAATACATAAATCACAATATCTGCTCTTTTTTTCAAAATAAATTCTTAGTTTTGAGCAGAGGGATGCAATAACAAAGATAAAACAAATATCTGGGCACCTCTTCACCTGCTGGGAAATGGAAAAGTGACTTTGGAAGAATTCCAGGAAAATAGGTGTCATGAAAAGAGTACAGTAATGCATTCTCTCCTCAGTGGAGCTTCTTAGTTAAAAATTATTCCCTCCCACTATGGCTTCTAATATAAACAACAACAACCAATCAGCCAACAGGGTATGAGGGCTATACCATAGAGATTCATGTATGATATATGCTTTGCTTCTTAATTCTGTCATCCTTGATTTCTTTTGTTTCTTTTGCTCTCGAAGTTTTGGAGGTAAACAAGAAGGGAAGAGATGGCGTTTATTCAGGCTAAAATCACCTCCAGAATTCTAGAAGGTGGAAAAATGATGGAGAGGGATTTGAAAACGGTAGATGGAGCAAAGGCTAAAAATCCCCTTCCCCACCTTCTGTTTCATCACTGACAACTGCCCTCTCTTGGAATTGCTTTCAAGAAAACCACAGTTGCCTGTGGCATGGTTTGGAATAGATTCAGAAGTACGTATTGTGCCCCACATATTTTGAACTGTGCCCTAGAGCCTGGGTGCTGCCCTGCTGACATCATTTTCCTGAACACAAGCTTGTCTCTTCCTTCCAAGCATGTCAGCCCTGCCTTGAATAGATTGGTAAAGCTTGCCTCTTTAACAGACTAGTGGATGTGTGTGACATGAGGACAGAAGGCTTTCAACGACAGCAAACGTTTGTGCTTATTTTGTGCCATAATTCAAACCCCAAAGATATAGATTAAGGCAGAAATTAGCTTGAAGAGGATTTTTGAGATATAAAACATAAATACGTAGAAGAACTGATAGTTCTAATATAGAGATGCAGAGAAAGGGTGACTAATGACCACATTAAAACATTGCAAGAAATACCAAGGGTTTGGGGGTGAGCTGATTCACATTTTTTCCCATTGACCACCTGATGCAGAGGGAAATGTGAGTCAGACCAGAGTCCTTCCCATCCAAATCCATAGTTTTTTCCCCTCTGCCATCGGGGCTTCTATTTTTTTTTTTTAAAAAATTGCATTGGTGGAGACATGCGATTGCTTGAACTGGTGTAGAAAAGCCCACAACACCAGCACACACTCAGGGAAAAGTGAGCAAGGCCTCAATGGGCATGATTTTTTCTTTTTTACAGCTTCTCCACTCTCCAGTGGCAAGACTCATTTTTCTTCTTCTTTCTTCTTTCGTCTTTCTTTTTTACTTCTTTCTTCTCTGTGGGCAAATGAGTGCTTTTCCTAGATATAAAGTATGCAAAAGTAGTTTTATCATTAACTTATTCTTCAGGTGCTCCAGGACTTTAGAGTTTGTCCAAGACACTGGCTCTTCTCTTACTATATATAAAAGTTTGGACAATCACAGGGAGAGTTATGAGCTCTTCACAAAACAGAATTTGGGAAAGCTGAGGTTTTTGGACTACAAGACCCAGAAAGCCCATCAAACATGGACAATGGTCATTTGCCCTCTGCTTCTTAAGGGCAAACTGTTGGGAGCTTGTTTATAATGAAGGCATGAAGAAGGAGAGGAATGCAGAGGAGCTGTTGGTGAAATATCGCTATTTCATACTGTGTTTGATTTTAGTAACCCAGATTGCAATGTTTGGGCTTCAGTGGAAGCTCATTGGCACGATGACGGTTTAACTTCAAAATCTTTGTCACAGATTTGGGGAAGGCTGGGGACTTTAGACTACGCAAAGTCATGTTCCAGGAGGCGTTGCATGAGAGGTTGGTTGTGATTGACAGCAGAGGAGTGACTCTTTAAAAAAACACAGTCCACTTGAAGAACAAGAAAAGGCCCTTAGTCACCTCACCTCATAAAGTTAATGAAGGTATGTGTGTAACCTCTTTCTTTCCACCTGCACGAAAATGCAGCTGAGATTCTTTCCACTTGAAAGCTGATACCTGTTTGCCTCATTTTCCATTTCGAAAAAACACTCTTCTTTTACCCTGACCTTTCTGTCTTGTTTATTCCATCCAGAGGCAGGAGCAAAGGTGTGGATCCTTTTGAAGTCTGGAGAAACCAGGAAAACAGAGCAGAGTACTGTATACCCTTTCCTCCTCTGAGCTCTTTAGGAAAACAGGGTTCACATGCTTGCAGAGGAGAAAAAACTGGGCCCTGCTGTCTTCATCAGCCACAGTTATTCAGCAAATAAATGGCAGACTTTAATTAAAATGTTTTAATAGATAAGATGTATTGCCAGATTTTGTGGTTCCTAGATTAAGCTGATTTTAATGTTCTCATAGTTGCATCTGGTTTTATATGCTGTTTTTATCCTGCCTTGTAATGTGTGAAAATCACCATGAGCACTGCTTTGTAGTGAGAAGGCAGGAGAGGAATAATAACAAACAGGCAAAAGGTCATCTGAGGGCCGAGGAGTTTAGATGCTGCTGCTCACGTATGCAATCCTGTTCACTCCTCCTTATAGGAATGGAAGAGCAATCTTTCTGGGTCAGTGCAACATCTACTCTGTCCAGCATTCTGGTTCCTCAGGGGCCATCCTGATGCCTTTGGAAAGCCCACAGTCAGAAGATGAATGCAATAGCATCGTCCCACTTTGCTCCCCAGCAATCGGTAACAAAAAGCATATTTTCTGTGATAGTGGATATAATACATAATAGACCCATTGTATAATGTTGATACCCTTATCTGCTATGAAGTTTTCCAGTTCTCTTTCAAAACCCGTCCTGATCAACAACCATCCTCACATCATATATCAGCAAATGCCGCCATTTGACTGTGCAGTGTGTGAAGAGGTGTTTCCTTTTTTTGTGTCCTGAATCTCCCACCACTCAGCTTCACAGAATGTCACTGGAGTCTCCTCTTATTCCATGGTATCTTTGCTCCCAAGGCAGTCTATATAGCATGGCAGTCTAAAGACCATCCCACACAAGTCACTGTTTTCTGTACCTAAAGGTGGTGCTCCTTAAAGAGGAGAAGCTTCTTTCTCCTCATACAACCTTGCTTTAATAGTGAGCTGGCAAATTGCCTTGCTTTTCATTTTCAGTTGGTTGGCTGCACCTCCATGGGCCCTGACAGATTTACATCTCTAGAGGGATATGTGTTTGAGTGTTAGATGGCATTTGTTCCTCTACAATGCATGTCTACTCAGAAGAGATTACCTTTGACAGACTCTTAGGTGAATATGTGTGGTGGATGAATATAGGACTGGGACTTGGAAAACCTTGGTTCAAGTCCCTGTTGAGCCATGAAGTCATCTTGGGCCAGTTACTCTTTCTGAGTGTGGTCTGCTTTGCAGGATTGTTGTGACATCAGAGTCACAAGTGTTGCTATAAAGGAACTGAGCTCATGTAGCAAATAAAACAGGAACAGAAAGCTGTCATCTTTTTTTTTCCCTCTCTGTAAGTAATCCCTGGTAGTACTTTGAGATATTTTCTTAAAAATGGACAGGATATGTCTTTCCATAACTTGCTTCTACATTTAAGCAGATGTATGTAAGGAGAAATACTTGCTTCCTTTTAGTCATTATCTGATAAAATGCCTTCCATTCATAACTCAATTTCATGAGGAAAGGGGTTATTTTGACTGGGAAGTGGACTGGTGCAGATTCCATGGGAGATGAAATCACATGTAGTACAAAAGTATCTACATTACTACGTATGTGAGTGACTAAACCCCAGCATAGCTTCAGGCATATAGGGGAAAACACACAGAGAGTGAACCAGTTTTTCCAAACTGGGCATGCAAAGGCAAATGTACTTGTTCTACAAACATGTGTGTTAAGTACTGCCATTTATTTGTGCATGTGATCCTACAGCTAATTACTGGCATGGCCACATATATTTGGTCCGTTAGTGTAATAGAGAACTGGAAGCAAAGTGATTACTGTAAATGTTTTAAACTAGCAAATATTTTTGCACAAATCCAAAGAGTGACTGAAATCTTGTTAATGAAACCATGCCTATGAAAAGGGGATGATGTTTTCAGTGATGAAAAGCTTTGCCCTTCTCTTCCATGGTTTTTCCAATTTTCAAACAATCTGTCTCACAGCATGACAGCCATGGACTCTGTGGGATGGAAGATGCAGGTTTTTCATTTACTGATTCAGTAAAATCACCACCATCTGGGGGAAATTGGGAACCTTTTATTTCATATGTATAGCAAACCATTTTGTTAATCCTTCTCCCTTCTGCCATCATCTGTGACATCCATCCTGAGGCTCCCACTTCTTCCACATGATTAAATAGTATCCATTATATAAAATAATTAGAGATGGGCCACAAACTGCTGGTTCATCAATTTGTGCCAGTTTGTCCTTCAGATGTTTGGCAATTCTCAGTCCCTCCTCCTCCTCTGTTGGACACCCACTTGGAGGCTGTGCCCAAAGGAGGCAGAGCAGAGAAGCTGGTGTATCTGAAGGACAAACCAGCATGAACTGGCAATTTGTGCCCATTTCTAAATATACTGTAATCTTAAAACTGCAGAACTGGATAGGACCCTGTGGATCATCAAGTCCAACCCCTATCAAGGAGGCACAGTGGGGACAGATTATTTGCAAAATAGGAGAAGACATGAGAGAGAACAGGGAAGTTATCTGCCAGCCAGGATAAAAAAAATAAAACCAGCCAGAGAGTGGATGACAACGGTAAGCACTGGTAAATTATAGCTGAAGCAGTACCACTAAGAAATAAAAAAAATATATTCACTAGCTTTTGCTTGCCACTTTTTCTGTGTTTCATAGTCCTAAATGTCAAGATATAGAAGACTGGGATTTGAGGATAAATCCTGAGTAGAGAGAGAGCAGGATTACATAGATGTAAAACTAATTGTTGGTTCCAATTAGAGTAGACTCATTTGTTTACTTAACAATTCCATTCATTTAATAGATCCATTCTTACCAGACCTCACAGCTGGATTTTGAAAAGTTACTTTTCAGGGCTTTGAGTCTCACATTGGACCATAATCCAATGATGATGATGATTTGAGTGGTATTATATAACAGATAAAAGTTTAAGCCAACCCCCCCCCCCAAAGTATCGGTTAAATATTGGTGTGGTATGTATGCTGTTCCTAATATTGCTATTTTTTGCAGATCAGATGGTGTTATTTCAGAAATCTGTAGCTGAGAACCTCCAAACCATGCACCAATATTCATGGGAATATTAATAAGCATAAATAAATTGAATGTAACAGTCCCAAATTTGGATTATTAAAAACACTGTGTGTGCCTCAGGAAGAGCTGTGGATACTCTGGTATATGAACTGAAACGAAAAGATTATCCCTCCTCCCATAGGATTATCATCAAGCAAACAAAGTCAGGATATACTTGATACATTTACCAGCAAAGTCTACTGGGAAGGCACTCCCTGTATATACTGTTTACTTAACTCAATATTAAACAAGATTTCACATAGTCTCACAATTATAAGAGATTGTGGTGTGAATGGACAAGAGTTCGTAATGGATCAAAGCTTTCAGTATGTGTTGATTTGCAGAACACACCCTAATATAATTTAACAAGAACTGAACATCCGAATACATGATCAGCAGAATGCATGGAATCAACAGGGCTTGTGGACTGTTTGCATGAGTACCTAAGAAGAAGTCTGCTGGATCAGACCAAAGACCTATCTAGCTCAGTGTCCTGTTTCTCTGGTGGTCAACGAGATGCCTATGAGCTAAATCTAATTAGTAATGCAGGCACAGATAGACCCACTGAATAATTTACATAAGGATTAATTTAGCAAAATGCACTCCATTAACACAGAGGTGGGCAACATCCAAGGTTTTTTGAGGTAATTTTAGTTCATACTTTGGAGATCCACATGGCAACTCTTGACACACCTGCCTCTTCCAAAATAGTCTGAACTTTTTTTTTTTTGCCCTTTTTTCCCTAGGGCCTGTTTTTGGCCTTGAAAGACCTTTTGTAGAAAAAAGAAGTGACTACTTGATCACTTCTTACTTTAAAGAGCATCAAGTTGGTTGTGAAAATTACACTCTGGAGGCATTTAGGATGTGTAATTTGGGCTTCAAGGGGGATCATAACATCATAGATTATAGAATCATAGGATAATATAGTTGGAAAGGGCCTATAAGGCCATCAAATCCAATCTCCTACTAAATACAAGAATCTAAGTTGAAGTAAGTGTTATGTTTCTCTGGTGGTCAACAAGATGCCTATGAGCTCAATCTAATTAGTAATGCAGGCACAGATAGACCCACTGAATAATTTACATAAGGATTAATTTAGCAAAATGCACTCCATTAACACAGAGGTGGGCAACATCCAAGGTTTTTTGAGGTAATTTTAGTTCATACTTTGGAGATCCACATGGCAACTCTTGACACACCTGCCTCTTCCAAAATAGTCTGAACTTTTTTTTTTTTGCCCTTTTTTCCCTAGGGCCTGTTTTTGGCCTTGAAAGACCTTTTGTAGAAAAAAAGAAGTGACTACTTGATCACTTCTTATTTTAAAGAGCATCAAGTTGGTTGTGAAAATGGGTATACAGTCCAAATCATACACTCTGGAGGCCTTTAGGATTTGTAATTTGGGCTTTAAGGGGGATCATAACATCATGGATTATAGAATCATAGGATAATATAGTTGGAAAGGGCCTATAAGGCCATCAAATCCAATCTCCTACTAAATACAAGAATCTAAATTGAAGTACAGTATATCCAACAGATGGACATCTAGCTTTCTCCTAAATGCCTCTAGCACTGCAGTGCTTACCACCTCCCAAGATAATTGTTTTCATTGTTATACTGCTCTAACAGTTAAGAAATTTTTCCTGATATTTATCCAAAATCTGGCTTCTTGTAACTTGAGCTCATTATTACGTGTCCTGCATTTTGAGAACAGATCCTGAGTGTCCTCTGTACCCTTTCACACATTTGCCCTCTAGCACTGCAGAGCTTACCACCTCCCAAGATAATTGTTTTCATTGTTATACTGCTCTAACAGTTAAGAAATTTTTCCTGATATTTATCCAAAATCTGGCTTCTTGTAACTTGAGCTCATTATTACGTGTCCTGTATTTTGGGATGATTGAGAACTGATCCTGAGTGTCCTCTGTACCCTTTCACACATTTGCTGAGTGCTATCATATCTCGCCTCGGTCTTCTGTTCTAAAGGCTAAACATGCCCAGATCTTTCCTCACATGGCTTGGTTTCAGTTCCCTGAACATCCAGGAAGGTTTGCATAATTAATGAATGTCTACTCTATCTTTCTTCCAGCAGAGGAATCCAAACAGCTTACCAATTTTTTTAATTATTAAAATAATTAAAACTAAAATTAATTACAATATCAAAAAGTCAAAAATAATTTTAAAAATTTTAAATCATTTAAAAACACTTTAAAAAACAGAGAAGACAAATGCCCACCAAACCCCCTCCCTTAGGAGTAATTTGGTTGTTAAAACCTTGCCTGAAAAGAAAGGACTTTGCCCATGCCCAAAGGATAATGGAGCTCCATCTTCCATGGAAAGGAGTCCACTGTCTGGGGGCAGACACTAAAAAGGCCCTCTCTCATGTAAGCACCAAGCACACTGGTACCAAGAGAAAAGCTTGCCTGAAAGAGGGAGGCTTTTATGGGAGAGATCATCTGTCAGATAGCATTAGGGACTGCAGTGGACCACAGTTTGCCAAACCCCTGATTTAATTAATGGGTTTATTCTAGTGCAGTGGTTTTATTTATTTATTTATTTATTTATTTATTTATTTGTTTGTTTGTTTGTTTGTTTGTTTGTTTGTTTGTTTGTTTGTTTTATATGCCGCCCACTCTACCCAGAGGTCTCTGGGGCGCCTTACAATAATTAAAATTCAATACAATAAAATGATTATTGTATTGTTCTTAACCTTTGTTACTCGGATGCTTTTGAACTGCAACTCCCAGAAACCCTAGTCAGGACAACTGGTGGTGAAGGCTTCTGGGAGTTGCAATCCAAAACTCCTGAGTAACCCAAAGTTAAGAACCAGT